GATTTTCCATTATCTCACACACACATAACATAAACCAAAAACTTTTGTTAAAACATTTCACTTAACACTAGAACGCAAAAGAAGAGCCAATCAAAGGAAAACATTTAAATACTCTACTTACGGCACAGACACTGGGACAAGCGCTGCCCCACTTTTCAAGTGTTTGAATCAATGATTAATAGTGTAAGTTTTGTTTCACTTTATTATGAGAAGTGCTGTAAACTGGATAACGTGTTGTCAGTGAAAAGTAAATGTTTTCCTGTAGTACTGAGAAAAGGCAATAAGGAAATATTACTATGATTCTACTAAACAAACAGACATTTCATTAAATGTGTTTTTGTAACTTGTAAAAAAGGATCAAAAATATTTTACAGGACACATCTTCATCTTTAAAATAAAACTGTATCAGACTACTGGACCAACAAAGGAGATATAACCCAAAACTTCACACAGGCCTAAAAGCAATTTCGATCCATTTGAAACATCCCGAATATGCTCTGTGTTCACTCTAAAATACCAAACAAAGTTCAACTGAAATGTTTAGCAAATAAAGAAAAGTTCTAAATACTAAATTTGGGAACTAGGCAATAGGTGACTGGCCCAACATTAAGACCTGGCCCAACAACAGTGTATAATAGTATCACATTTACTATATAAACTCTGTGGATGATTGCTGTATAAGGAGTGTGATGTTGTGGTGTAGTGTGGGGTATCAGCAGTGTGTTTAGGATGGCAATGTACACTCTAAAAAAATAAAGGGTGTTTTCGCAGAAATGCCATAGAAGAACCGTTTTTTGGTTCTCCAAAGAACCTTTCAGCGAAGCGCTCTTAAAAAAAAAAACATTTTTCTTAATGTGAAGAAAATTTTAAACCTTTTTCCCACTTTAAATAACTTTGTTGAATAGAAAAGTTCCATGGATATTAACAGTTCTTGATGGAACTACATATGCAAATAAAGAACCTTTATTTTTATATGTGTATGTGGCCTTTTGGAGTGTCAGAAGTGTGAGTGTGTGTATCAGGAGACAGGAGTATGATGATTTATTTGTGATGGGTTTTATAGTGCATGTGAGGAATGTGATGGCATATATCAACCGGTAACTGAGTTGACCGACTGCTGAACAGCCCCTACCTGTTCTCTGGATATACAGGGCAGAGAAGGTCTGCGGGGCATCTTACAACTGCCATAATAACTGCTGGACGTCTCTCCCAAAGAAACACAGCTGGACCTTCTCCTGGGTCTGATGACGGGAACTTTCTCCTCCGCGTTAGGAATCCTGCCGGCCGTCTCCCTCGGTGGGTAATAGTGATCGAAACAGAGCGCCAGCAGAGAGCCGGAGACCCCCGCCGTACACGCCAGCACCGGCCTGAGGAACGGAGACAGGCAGCCGAGGCTGGTGAAGGACAGCAGCCACACCAGGCTGGCGAAGACCAGGATCAGGACGCTGTGCTTGAGTTTGAGAGTGGGGATGAGAGTGAGCAGACCCACGCAGCCCAGCACAAACAGCAACCTGCCCATCATTTGCATCTGATGGTGCTCCTCTCCCCACTGCAACAAGCGCAAGACCATCAAATCCCCCAAGTAGCATGACGCTGGTAAGGACAAAAGCCAACATCTGCTGCTTTCCCTCTTCGTCCGCCTCAGGTAGAGGGTGAGGAAGAAATACGCGCAGCCGATGCTGAATAAAGGACTGATGGACTGGGAGAAATCAAAGAGGAAAGTCCGCAGCTCCGAGACGCCGTGTTCACTCTGAAAGCTCCTAGAAATGAAGCAGGAGAGCACCAGGACTGCCAGCGCTCCCACGTAGAGAGCCGAGCCGCGGAGTAGTTTGGACTTGAGGATATCCTCATTGCAAAACCTACAGACGTTGAATAAAAAGCCCCTCGGATGGTCTTGTTTTAACGGAGTGACGCAGCTCTTCACATAGCCGTTCCTGAAGCTCTCCGCGCTGTTTGCATTGCCAACAACACCATCGTGCTGTCTGATTTTACTGTGCAAACCCTCTCCTTCCTCCCGCACAGCCATGTTGCCCTCCTTCGGTGCTATTTAAACTTTCATTGCTCCGAGATAAATCCTCCGCGTGTCAACGTTTCACTACATGACGGCAAACGCACTCCATGGTCACCCAAACGTGCTCAGGCATTTTGGCCAGGAGGAAAAGAGGCTGAAATGTTGTTGTTTTTTTAGCAGACTCGAGCTCTATGTCGCCGTCTAGGTGCGACAATTTGTAACAATGACTAGAGCGCGAGGGACCGAGACGCAGCCAAACCGCGCCGCCTTCAATTTATGTCGGTATCTTTCAGTTCTAGTCATTTTTTCCTAGCCTTAATGTGGTGCTTGAACAATACTAAAGCATGTTGAAGTATAGGCTATCTATATGTGGAAAATATATAACAATGCATATGTGTATCCTATGTGTGAGTGTATATCATTAGAAACTTTGGATTCGTGTGTATCTATAGGCTATATACGTTGTCTTTATTGTTTGTTTATATCTACGATTGTAGCATATGATTGAGCTAAGTCACTAATCAGTCACGTAAATAGGCTAGTGTTGACTATCTATCTTCTACCTTTTCGGCAACAATGAGACAATAGGCCCTTATGGTTTCAATGCATACGCACCACAAGAGGTCACTAACATTGACATTATGCTACAGCTGAGTTGTCAACTGTTTCTTACCAATGATGGGGATCCTGAGTCTTAGGTTGTGAGGAACCCCCTAATATTATTGTGTTTTATTTATAACACTGTAGCCTATAATATCTCATCATTATTACATTATGCTAATTTTCTCAGTGAACTTTGCATTCTTTACAATGTCCTCTATAAAAGCAAAAATCAACCAAAGATGATATCACCAAATACCAACCAAATTTGTGTCTGTGACTGTTAACGTTAGCTAATGCACTGTGAACATGAAGAATTGTATTTTTTATTAAGTAACATTAAAGGATTAACATGTTAGCTAATGCCTTAACTGATGTGTTAGCCAAGTAGTGTTTAAAAATAGGCTATATGAAGAGTTCTTTTGCAAAAACAGATAACTCATTTAACAGTTTTCAAAAATCATGTTTTTTCATTGTGCATTCCAATTAATCTCAATCAAACTGCAGCTGGGTTATTTTGATTTAAGTACAAATAAAATACAGCTAACTAAAACAATAAAAACATGATAACATAATACACAAACATGACTTAAAAAAAAAAAAAGTTATCTCTTTTTGCAAATAAACTCTTCATATATTTTTAGAGAAATCTCTCTTATTGCAAATCGATCTGTCCACAGACCCCTGCAGTACCTTTAAGAAAATTTTGTTAGTGTATTATATCATATTCTTTTTGAGCATTATTTTAATTCAAGGTTACAACTTGAAGACTTTTGTAACATTCAGTGATAATACTGAAGCTTTTATTTTATTAACTAACTGATTTAGAGATTATAAGACAAGTAATATAAAGTAGAAAATAAGATTGGCCCATGATCCTTTTGTCTTTGCTCAGTCAACACCTTTTCCCTTTCCTAAAACAAATGTTATAAAGAGGGAAAGTCCCTCCGATGCCAATGCTTTAGGTAAACAGAACCTGTATTCTGAACAAAGTTGTGGTGTTTCCTTTGAAGCGTGAACACAAAGAATGTTTTTTTAATGGTCTTAAGATGACTCACATTTGTAAAAAGATCCAGATATAGAAGTTTATGAAAATGTAATATATTTATTCCATATTGACGAGCAAGAACAATTGATGCACTTGGCTGGAAAATTGGTTTGAAATTGTGGTTCTTGTATTATGGTTCATTTATGATCTCCAATGCTGGAGACTAATGCTGGCTCCATAATGCATTGAAATGGACCTCATTTACTTTACTTCTGTGCTGCAATCCCCATAGCTATCTTAAGAGCTTTGCCATGATTCCAACTGCACAAGTAAAGTGGTTGAGTAGACAAGTCAATAAAACCACCAGTCATTCTCATGTGAGGATCATGTACACTAATGTATCTTCCAAGCTTTTATGGAACTGGTGATGTCTATAGAAATATAGATATATATCCTGTTCGGCAGTGGGCCATGATATTATATGCATAAACAAATGTATATGTGCTACACTTTAAAAAAGTCAAAAACATACTGTGTTAATTTGAGGGTATGAAGGTCTTTATTGATTTTTACAGGTTTTTTCCCCTGTATTTTGAATTACACATTATACTGTATTGTGTTTTGTTACAGGAAATGTCTATAAACTGAATGAAAAAAAAAGTACTGGCAGAAAATTACCAGTACTTTTTCCATTTTTCCACAGATTTTATTCTTACAGTGTACCTTAATAAAAATAAGTTATAAATTGTATTATATGATAAATATTAATACATTTATAACATATAACAGAGGTATAAGGGCATTAGAACAATACAAGAAATTCTTCTTTAAATCCCTTTAAATTTGATTAAATTCAACATTTATATTAATTTTCTCAAAAATTTTGCATTGTAAATATGAATATAATATATAACATTCAATAGTCCAATATTATTCCAATTGTAAAAATATTTATATTTTCCATTTTCGTTTCAATTTTAGTTAAAGGTATAGTCATTTTAAATATGTCTATAGATTTTAGCAGTTATTTTAGTACATCAAGATAAGGTAAAAAAACTAGCTGAAATGAAATATATTTAGGTTTTTATATTTTATTTGTATTTATTTATTTTCATGGTTTTAGTTTTAGTTAACTATAAAAACGTATTTTCACACCAATAAATATACAAATAGCTTGTGTTATTTTTCCTTATCTTGACTAACACAGGGGAATTTCTTCTTCTTCTTCTTCTTTTGGTGTTTTAAGGCGGATGGCAAACAAACCACAGGGAAATTTAAGTGTAATATTCCAGTATAAACAAGCATAACATAATCACAAACACATACACAACTCCAGTCTACTTTGCAACAAACTTTCGCGTTTGCGTAACGCGCCGTGCGGTTTGATCCTTCTGGCTCGCTGTAGTATTGATGTGGCCAAGTCGGTCAGGTTCCACGTCATTCGGAAGGATCAGAATCTCTCCAGACACGGATGCGCACACAGAAGAAGAGAGAGACCTTAGCCCTGTTTGAAAGGTAATCAATTGGCAGCTTTACAAAAGAGCACATAAATAAAAGACACATTTGTTGTTATTTTGAGCTGCTTCGAGCACGGAAGCGCTGGTCGTCTGTGTTAGGTTTGGTCGCAAACTGTTAGCGTGCTAGCTGCTACTGTAGCAGTGATATCGAATGATCACGCAATCAGTAATATAACTGTATAACCTTAAGTCCGTTATCAAGATGTATCATCAAACAGCAGTGTGGATATTAATACGCTATTTATTTATAATAACTGCACAACATGGTGCAAATTGGTCTTCTGCCACGGCTGGTAAACTAGCTGCTAATTCAATTAATACTGTGCGGCCGCAGACCTTGAGACTTCTGACGGGATATTGATATAAAAATTCTTGTTAACAGAGGAGACCCTGAAATCACCTAAAATTCATGTGGTTATACATATACCGTGGAAGTACCGTAGTGTTCTTTGAAGTGCTTTGGAATGGCACGTAAATACAAGGTGCGTGGGTATGGTAATCTTTTAAAGGTGCGACCTGTGTTTTTGATAATAACAAAAGGTTTTACTTATGAAAACGAACAATTTATATTAATTTATATAGTGCTTTGAGCTAGTGGTCTGGTCACTTTATGTATATGCATGAACATAAAACTACCAAAAGTATACCTCATACCGATAGCGTTGTCATATATTTGACAATTCATTTGAACTTTTAGTGATGTGTTGTAACCTGTGTTTCAGGAAAACTCATTCTCTCTGAGTGGAGTCTCGTGAAGAGAAAAAGAGCTGACATAATGACAGCCGCGGAGAATGTGTGTTACACACTCATCAATGTCACCAATGACTCTGAACCACCATCAGAAGTCAGCTTGAAAACTGATTTAGGTAATCTTCATGTGGGGTAGTTTATTAAATAAAATTACATTTATTAAATGTAAATTTATATTAACGTGCAATGCATGCCATTTTAAAAGTTTGGGGTTGGTAAGGTTTTTCAAAAGTTTTTGAAAGAAGTCTCTTATGTTCACTAGGGTTGCATATATTTGATCAAAATGCAGTAAAATAATTATTATAATCAAATATTATTACAATGTAATTTTCTACATATATTTTAAAATGTCATTTATTCTTGTGATGGCAAAGCTGAATTGTCATGAGCCCCATTGCGCCAGTCTTCAGAGTCACATGAGCTTCAGAAATCATTCTAATATGCTGAGTTGGTGCTCAAAAACATTTATTATTTTTTAGCACAGTTGAAAACACTTGTGCTGCTGTTTAGTGGAAACTGTCTTTTTTTCAGGATTTTATTTTTTATGAAAGTTAAAAAGAACAGCATTTATTTGAAATCGAAATCTTTTATAACACTGTGCAAGTCCTTGCTGTCACTTTTGATCAATTTAATGTGTCCTTACTGAATAAAAGTTCTAATTTCGTTTTAAAACGATTTTACTGACCCCAAATATTCGAAAGGTAGTAAACGTGTGTAACAGTTTTCCTCTTTTATTTTTGTCAAAACAGAAAAGGGGGAAATCAAAGCCAAGACAGAGGCTTTGAAAAAGGTCATCATCATGATCCTGAATGGAGAGAAACTTCCAGGCCTATTAATGACCATTATTCGGTTTGTGCTGCCTCTTCAGGACCACACAATTAAGAAACTATTACTAGTTTTTTGGGAAATTGTTCCCAAAACGACTCCTGATGGCAAACTTCTTCAGGAGATGATCTTGGTCTGTGATGCCTACAGGAAGGTAGGCATGAAATATGCAACTTAATGTTTATTGTAAAGAGGTATATTGTGTGTATTTCTTTGTTCAAATATGCCATCTGTGTTATGCATCATAGGATCTCCAGCATCCCAATGAGTTCATCCGTGGCTCCACCCTGCGCTTCCTGTGCAAGCTGAAGGAATCTGAGCTGCTGGAGCCCCTCATGCCAGCGATCCGTGCCTGTCTGGAGCATCGTCACAGCTATGTACGCCGCAATGCAGTCCTGGCCATCTACACTATCTACAGGTGTGTTGATGGATCTTTGTGTACGCACAAGCAAGAAACAAATGTCAAAGACTTTTATTATTATTATATAATAAATGTAATATAATATAATAACATATATGTGTATATATATGTATATATTATATATGTATTAGGGATGCACGATATATCGGCCACCATATCGGTATCGGCCGATAAATGCTCATTTTTTCTTAGTCTTATTATAGTTTTACAAGTTATATTTTTTAGTACAAGAATGTGAATCTCATGAAACTACGTACCTGTTCTTCTAATAATTATTGCAGGATCGAGCTTTGGACTACCTTAGCACCTGTATTGATCAGGTGCATACTTTCGGAGACATTCTACAGCTTGTTATCGTGGAACTGATTTATAAGGCGAGTTGTTTATTCACAATACTATTCATAGTACTATCTATCTTCTATCTTCACAAGTCATTCTTGTCTAACCCTCAGAGACCCAGCATAGTAGAACTGCAACTTCAGTATAAACCAATTAAATAATACTTAACTCTGACTAAATATGGGTAAAAACAATGCATAACAGTAGCTGACACTCTGAAATTGATCTCAACAACAGTTTTTTTGGGGGAAAATATTTGCACATTAACTGCCACAGCTTGTAGTCTCACAAAATGACACCAGCTAGCTGACACAATTCTTAGTACGTTTGGAACATCTAATTACAAAGCAAGTATTTGACATCAGGGTTTCTTTTATTTTACTTCTATATGTCTAGTGATGGGAAAGGCTTTGACCAGGCTTATGCCCAGAGTATACTTTGGGCTTACAAGCAAATAATATTTAATATAAATAAATAAATGCTTGGATGTGAATATTTATTACAGTGTTTAAACAGTCAGATAACTTCATTTACACAACTTTCACCACTTTATCCTTACATTTTGTACTGTAGGGGTGGGATTTTACAACCCTAAATGTCCATTAATTTCACAATTTAGTTTCTT